GCTGCAGTTATTAGAGACCAGCAACTGTTTCATCAGCTGATAAAAATCACTACCATTTTAGTATAATATTTTTTTAAAATAACACTGTTATAACAAACTCTGAAAATTACATTAATTGAAAGTCTTGATAAGATATTTATGCATTTAATCAGTTGAGGTAAGGGTAGCACAATATGCTTTCCCATGTCATTGACTTCACCACCCAGTTAGTTCATTTATTATTTGAACCCATCTTGTGCATGTCAGTGACAAAGCAAGAACTCTTTCATAAGATAGGGGCAGTAAATAAAAATAAATAAATAAATCAGAAGCTGCATTTATTCATTTCACTATTAGTTTATCACCTATGCAGTCTTAGGTCAAAGTGTCTTTCGTGCAGGTTTTCACTCCCCTGTCTAAAACTGCTTCAGAACGGGAGGCGCTGAGAAGTGGCCAAGCCCACTGCTGTGTACATCTGTTCTGCGCTTCGTTAAGTGACCACAGTTGCAGCTGAGATACGCAGTATATTCATGTAGATACAAAATTAGCCACTGGCCTAACATAAAAAAGGTGTGCAATTAACTAAACTTAATTACTTAAATCTGTCTGCAGTCTTCCAATCTTTTACAGAACTGTTCTGGCATCCCAGGTCCCAGTAGTAAAGCTGCTGGAATGCCCACAGCTCCATTTCTGGTGCTTTGCAGAATTACCTTTCTGTCCTCAAACAAAATTTTCAGTCTTTTTTTTTTTTTTTTCCTAAGCTAGCAGTTTCTTATTCCTCCTAATCAGACATTACAAAATCATACAAGGGAGAAATAATAATTTCTACCAATGCCTGCTGGACTTGTAGTTATAGCTTATGGTTCCCACATGAAGCAAAGCTATCATCTGTAAAGGACAGAAAGAAATGTGAACCTAGTAGAAATACATGTGCAATTCTTGTAAGTCCCCAGTTTGATGCTTCTTCAGCTGCCATGATTATCAGTGGAAAAAAAAACCAACAAAAAAAGCTTGTAAGCAAGACATTCCTTCTTTCTATTGGTTTGCTACTGCAAAAAATAAATAAGACCTAAATGCCTCCCAGGGATCCTCAGGTGGGAGAGACCTCCTTCCAGCTGGCTGCTTCCACGAATATGTAATCATGTATACTGAGTGGAAAACCCTCAAACAGGAAGACTAGAGAAGGGAGGCATCTCCCCCAGGAATAACCAGCAGCCTGTTGCTCACAGCTAGGACATCCAGCACTGGCTCTTTTTGTTTTCTTGTTGAAAATTTCTTTGCTAAAACAATTTTTGGCACTCTCTAATTGCACCTCTTTGCATGTCATTCCTTGAGGGTCTACGCATTTTGATCTCAAGTGACTTTGTTCAAGTTCCACTGATCTTTCGTTCTGTACTGTACTGAATGATCCCCTATTTCTTTTTGGGTGAAAGATTGAAGTGTTGTGACTCCCCATCCTCTTCATTCCTTTACCCTTAATAATGAAGAATCAGGAAACAAACAAATAAATAAATAATATATATTTTATACATATATATATATATATATGTAAATTATTAATGTAATACTGCAGCCCCAAAGAATGGCTCCTTTACAAATAATTACACACCTCTCTTTTTTGGGATGTCTTGGTAGCTTTCCTCTCAGGAGGAGTTAGGGCCCAGGTATCCATCACAAATCTTCTGAAAAGTGAGCTCTGTCCTGCTGTGCAAAGTTAAGTGCACAGGAAAGCCAGTGTATCCGTCAGGGCTCCAGGCAAGCCTCCAAGCAGCTGTCCACCAGCTGCTGGATTTAATGCTTGTTTTTCTACTCTTGGCTTCACTGGCAAGTGCTGATTCAGCAGCTGAGCCAATGGCTGTGAGCTGCACATACAGTGGATGTGTAATAACATCATGAAGGAATGTATGCTAGGCTTTTACTTTTTAGGGTTTGGTTGTTTTCTCTTTCTTTCTTTTTTTTTTTTTTTTGCCTGTTGGGAAACCAGAGAGGTCCTCCTCTTTAACTGATTGTGCTGTTAGCTGTAACTCATTCTCCAGGCTCACGTTCTCAAATATCTCCATGAAGGAGATTGGAAGATCAAAGAGTTCACAGCAAGTGAAGCCCTCTGTTACTTGAAGGATGTGAGAACACGATAAAAAGGCGACAGCCTGGTAAAGACAATTTTCATCCTAAAGGATGAAAAAGGAGCTGAGGCTGACACCAGCCCTGGAAGGTGCATTCATGATTTTTTCCCACCATCTCACAGCCACTGGTACAAAGCACAATTCGTAGATAGTTATAAATACCAGACTCCAGTCATCTGCACTTGATGCTATTTTAAACTCTTCCACGTGAGAAAAATGGTTAAAAATAAAAATATAGCCTTCTCATTCTTCTCTAGATGTTCTGTTCAGTTCTTCCTGCTCACACAGAATCACAGACCCGTCTATAAATATCTAACCCAGATATACAATTGCTTGTTTAAAAGGAGGGTGTTTGGTAGAAAACGGAATGAAATAGAAAATGTCCCTTATTGTATTTTTATTGCAGACCAGATGTGGCCTCTCAGTTTCCCCTCTATCATTTGGAGATGTACATTCACCAAGAACATTGCATGTGTGCTTATAAATATTTTGATGTTGTCATGGCATAATGAAGGGTAATTGATTAGAAAAATCCCTGTGGGATTTTGCACTTAAAAATGCATTTCTATTTTAGCACTACTGTCTTCAAACTAAGTGTATATTTTGACTGATCCCAAAGAGAAAGCAACAGCAAACAGGCCAGGACTTGGCTTTTGGTCAATGGGCGGCACTGGCAAGTTGAGCAAAGCTCATGCAGTTCATGGTTCCAGAACTGCATGCGAGACCTTCACACCAGCAGCCATCCTCTCCTCCAAACACAGCTTGCTCCCATATGGCAAAACGCCTGAGACCTGCCTGACATGGGAGTGCAGAGGTCTGACCAGATCATCACCGTTCCACCAGACTGCTATTTGTTAGGCAAATTAGTACTTCCAGGCAGAAAGAGTAATACAGACTTTTCACTTTCAGTATGTATTTGTAATTTTTCAATCTACCTACATAGAAGAATATAATTTAGAGCACTGAGGTAAATAACTCTGTTTTTATACTGTTTGACTTTGGGATATGTGCTACTTTGAGATGTATATTCCTCTTTAAATTCCTCTGAGACTTTGTCTATATGTAAAGCAACCAACAGCAGCTGGAAGGTCCCAAGTGAGAATTTCTGGTAGCAGAACAAGGCACAGCTGAAGAAAAGAGAGACAGATCTGCTGCCTTATTCTGGATGAGCTGGTTTTCAGCTCTGCCATTCACTGACAGCACGCTCACCAAACTCCCATCCCGTGGTGCTGGGATCAGTGCACTGCTCAGACTGCCTGCCTGTACTTCCTTCCCCTGCGATGTCTCATCCACCGGTAGGTGCCTCCCTCAAAACTGCAAAAAGCAAGTGTTCTGTTACAGCAATCCAAAGCACCTAAGTGATGCAACCTGTGGAGAGCATGTGACCAATGATCTTCCTACACAGGATGATGGCAGCTGATGCTGTTTTTGTACCCAAGCTGGTAATGTGTGGAAGATGCTTCTTCTCACATATAAAGCTGGAGACACATGTAATATGACAGTTTCTATAGTAACTACTTGTTCTTTATGGAGCGGCAGATTAAACCTGTACACCTTGTTATTGTTCTTTCATCCCATTATCCAGAGCACTCAGGCAGTTACCACAGCTACACTGCTTTATCCCTCTCCATTCCCCTGCCAACAGAACTATGGCAGGGCTTTGTGCACTGCAAGCAGAGTGCCTGAGAGACACAGAGCACCGTTAGAATTTAGACAGTAGGCATCAAAGCATACATGTGCATAGCTGGATACTGAAAGGTAAAGTGTAACGGTTAAAAGCTGATTGCTTTGTTAAGCTGGCAAGTTTGTGATTTGAAAATTACCATCTTGCTGAGAAAACAGTGCTGGTGATGTATAGGATGTTCATCTGTTGATGCTCTGAACTTACCAGAGTCACTTCACCAGCCCAGGTGTACAGACAAACTCCAGTGGTAAGAACCCTGAGGTTCATTATGCACAGGACTCGTGTGCTACACTGATTCATGGTTCTTATTTCAGTGCAAGAAAAGTAACGCTGCTGTGTTGTGTTTTACACTAAAATATGTCATTATTGTAGTTCATCGATGCTGCAGCTGTGCTGACGGTATCAGCCCTGCAAGTGGTGTTATTTACAAAAATCAGATGCTTTCTGTGCTGCATCATGTTAGCCTCGTTGTGGGAAAAATGCCCCTACTCTGTCTCTGTCTGAAAGCTTCTGTTGCTGTCTCCAGCAGAAACATATCAGCAATAAATTCTTGTTATGAAATCGCACTGTAGGGAGAAATCGCAGCTGTGTGAGCAGGGCTGCAGCCTGCACGACTAGAAGGAAAGATATAATGTAGAAATAAGTACCTCCATCCACGAGATAAAAGAAAACGATACTTGGTATCACTTAAATAAAGCTACAGTAAGTCGCACACATGTAGAAGAGGGGAAAGTGAAAAGTGCAAAGAGAAAAGCAGAGAAAACAAATGCACAGCACCGAGACCAACTGAAAGATGGAAACAGCGGAACGCAGGCAGATCCCGAGGCACGACCAGCCCGGTTTCTCTCCCTTTGCCCTTGATTGCATCACTCTGGCACGGATGCGGCACCCGGCCCGGCACCCCGAGAGCCGTGCCGTTCTCCGCGGGGAGCCGCCCCGGCCGCGTTCCGCTCGTACCGGACCGGCCCCGTGCGCGCTCCTTACGCAACGCGGGCGCGGAGCCGCCCGTCCGCCGCTGCCGCCCAGCACGGGAGGGGCTGCGGGGCTCGGCCGCCCGCCCGCCCGCCCCCCCTTCCCCCCGCGCCGCCGCCCGCGGAGCCCCCGCCGTTGGCCCGGCAACGCGCTGCTGCCTCCGCCTCCCGCAGCCGGGCCCGCGCCCCCCGCCCGGCTCCCGGCGGGACCGCCCCGCGCCGCTGCCTCCGCGGGCCGCCGGCGGGCGTCGGTACTGCGGCATCGGGCGGAGCGCGGGGCTGCGTGCCGGTAGCGGCGGGAGGGCAGCGTCCGCCTGCTGCTGGGCGGCGGGGCCGCTGCGAGAGGGCCGCGGGAGGAGCGCGGGGCTGCGGCGATGGACTGAGGCGGCGGGGACTGCCGGCCCGGCGCCGAGGTGAGTGCGTGCTGCCTTCTGCTTTCCTCCTCCTCCCTCCGTCGGCTTCGCGAGGAGCGTTTTCCTCTCGTGCGTTTCCAGAATGAAAAGGGGCTTCTGCGGGGGGAAGGAATAGATGTCATCTTGAAACGAGCGGCGGTGGTGTTGCTCGGTGATGGAAGGGATGGTCGTCACCGTGAGGTAGGAATATTTTGCTGGTTGCAGAAGAAAAATCGTAAGGGTAGGGCGGCTGCCGCCACGGCTAAAATGACCTTCTCCAGAGATGCCGGCCTCCGGTCGGCTCTGCTTCAGCTCCAGCCCTTTTCATTAAGCTCAGGCATCGCCCTTCCTAGCCCGGACCCCAGAACCAGTGTCCGAGCTGCCCCGAGCCGCCGCGCCGTGCTGCCGATCCCATTCGGTTGTGCCTTTGGGAGAGAACCCTCAGGCACGGCTCTGCTCCCGGGGCTGTGCAGCCTTTCCGGGTGCGACCTCCGGCTGCTGAGTCCTGCAGCCGAGGCTGCTTGTTCCGAGGGTGCTCTGCTTCGTTCGTGCGTTTGAGGGATCGGGAAGTGTTATGGCATCAGTCTGCACCTGTGCACGGCTGCGGTGCTGAGCCACAAGTTCCGTGGTCTGTTCGCATCTGCATTTCGAGTGACAGATTCCTCTGTGCACACCCAACGCTTCGGTTAGCCTACAGATCTACAGACAAGTGTCTTTAATTTCTGGCAGTAGCACTGAGCGGAGGTTTTTTTGGCTGTTTCCCTGAAGGAGCTGCTTAATGTGTTGTTGCAGCATTTGCTCGGGAGGCTGCTGACCTATCTCAGCAGCGTTTTCCTGGGCGAGATTTGAGACAACCTCATTGCTTTTCCATTCAGCTCCCTTTACATCCATTTACTGGTACTAACGTGACTCCGATTGGCTTTTATTCTGGCTCTGTGTTTCGTGCCATTGTGGGTCACACCCGTGAAGTGGCCACTGGAAGGTCTTCTGCAGGGGTTACACAGCAGGTGAGGCAGAACCGTGATGCTGTGGATGCCTACTTGTGGATCATGGAGTCAGAATGAGGGTGTACTCTGTGCTTCCGCGGGGAAAACTGTTTCTGACTTGATGGATGGAGAATTTGTAATCCAAGCTGATGGCTTAAGTGCCAGTACAGATAAAAGTGTGGCTTTTCTACAGCAAGGCACAAATTTGCCACCTGAAGAGACACAGGTGCAGGGATACAGCTCTGCAGAGCAGAGAGGTGTTTGCCTTTAACTTAGCTGTCTCCATCAAATCATTAGGCTGGAAGCTCTTACCCAAAAGCACAGATCCCTGTCCTTGGATAGAGGACACCGTTCCAGCGCAGGCCTACATGTACAGAAGAGTGAAATTCCAGTCTTCAGGAAACCAGTGACAAGTGAAATAAAGAGAAAACATCTCAGTCATATGGGGTATTTAGGACAAAATCTCCTTCCTTCTACCACTAAAGCACAGACTTGCGTTTTCAAAGAACCACACTACTGTGTGCATATGCATGCCCTCAGAAAGGCAGATTGACTCCATGTGAGGCTGCAGATTTCATTCTGGCAGTGGGCCTTATGGAGGTGAATAAATTCTGCTGCATGAAGAATGTGCCACCTCGTCTGAGGATTATGTTCTCGTAACTTCACTGCCTGCTGGTGACAGAGCTGGCTCTTTGGGAGGCACTACTGCCTTGCAATCAGATGTATCAGGCTTTCAGTGAGTCTTGGTGTTTCAGCTACAGGCCTTGGGCTTGAATTTAACTACATTAATAATTTTATTCTAAAAATAACTAGAAAAATAGCTCTGGAGTGAAGTGAAAGTGTTCTCGTTGTTGCAGTCTGGATTACACATTAATGGAAAAGGTACATTAGATATTAAGAAATCTAGAGTGAAGCAGAAAAAAGAAATGTGTGCCTTCTTAAGGGAATCTACCTGCTGAGATGTGGGGAAGGGGATAAGCAGAGGGATAAGGATAACAGAAAATTCAGTGGACAGTAAAAGCTTAAATCCTTAAATGGCGAAGTCAGCTCTTCCTCTCCAACTTAAGCAGATAATGATTTTGACAGGAGATAGAGCCTTGGTTGATACGTAGCAATGAGGTAACATAAAGGAATTATATCTTTCGCCTCCCCCCCGCCACCTAATTAAAGAAAATCACTCTCGATTCTTTTGGGCTAAATCACCATAATTGCACTTATTTCAGAAGATATTCTCCAGATTTATGCAATTGAAAATGAGAGTTGAATCTAACTAGCTCTGTGTAAAGATTTGGTCCTGCTTCCATGGGACTCGCTGGAAGTTTTGTCCCTGCTGTCAGTGGGACAGTCCAGGCTCAGTATGAGCACGCAGCGTTTCACTGATCAGATTCTCCCTCTAGGATCAACAGTGTTGAACAGTTTTAAAGCAGATCTCAGTGAGGTCACAGTCTCAATGACAAATTCACTAAGACTTTCCTGGAGTCACAAGCTCTAACTTGTGAATGATCCGTTTATCAAAGTATTAATGATTTAAGCACGAGTCACAAGTGGTGTTCCCTAGGGGCAGGTATTGGGGCTTATCCTGTTTAAATATCTTTATTGATGATTTGGATGAGGGAATTGAGTGTACGCTCAGTAGGTCTGTGGACAGCACCAAACTGGGGGGAAGTGTTGATCTGCCTGAGGGTAGGAAGGACCTACAGAGGGGCCTGGAAAGATTGGATCTGCAGGCTGAGTTCAACAAGGCTAAGTGCCGGGTCCTGCACTTTGGCCACAACGATGCCATGCAATGCCACAGGCTTGGGGCAAAGTGTCTGGAAAGCTGTGTATAGGAAATGGATATGGGGATTTGGTTGATGTTTGGCTGAACGTGAACCAGCACTGTGCCCAGGTGGCCAAGAATGCCCATGGCATCCTGGCTTGTATCAGAAATAGTGTTGCCAGGAGCAGCAGGGTGCTGATCGTTCCCTGTACTCAGCTCTGGCGAGGCCACACTTTGTGCACTGTGTTTGGTTTTGGGCCTCTCACTACAGGAAAGACATTGAGACTGAAGTGCATCCAGAGAAGGGCAACAAAACTGGTGAAGCACAAATCTGATGTGGAGTGTGAACTGGAATGGTTCAATCTAGGAAAAGAAGGCTCAGAAGAGACCTTACAGCTCTCTAAAACTGCCTGAAAGGAGGTTGTGCTGAGGTGGGGGTTGGTCTCTTTTTCCATGTAGCAGTGACAGGACAATGGCCTCAAGTTGCACCAGGGGAGGTTCAGGTTGCATATTAGGAAGAATTTCTTCTCAAAAAGAGTGGTCAGGCACTGGAACAAGCTGCCCAGGGAAGTGGTGGAGTCACCACCCTGCAGATATTTAAGGAAAGGGCAGATGTAGTACTTAGAGATGTGGTTTAGTGGACGTATTGGTGGTAGGTGGATGGTTGGACTAGATGATCTTAGAGATCTTTTCCAACCTTAGTGAATCTATGATTCTACAATATTAATCTCACTGAGAAAATTTAGGGTTATTGCTAACATAGTGGCTGAGGTTATTCACCTTCAGTCGTAACACCTTACTATGGGAAATAATTAACTAATTTATCTATGATAATTTTTAAACCAAAGTCCTCCAAAATAAAAATATTGGCATATTTAGAAATACTATTATTGGTTTTATTTTTATTTTTAAAAAGGTTAAATTTTGTTCCTTGTAATTCCCAACATATCCAAAATAAAATCACATTTGTTAATAGTTACAATAGATTTACTCCAGCCTACTTAAGAGGAGAATTTGACCTATAATTTTTATTATATTAAAAGTTAATATTTTTATTAAGCTTTCCAGAATCAGTATTTAAGGAGCCCAATTTTCATTTGTCATATTGATGAAAGAATAATAACTGGAAATAACTAGTCTGACCCAAACCAACTACAGTTGATTCTATTCTAAAAGTCCTCTTGCAATTTCAGATACATAGTATACAAAGAATATGATGCAGAAGGGTTTATTCTGCAATTAAATCAGGAGTTGCCATAAATTAGCAATTTAAGTTATCGTAGCATTATGCCCTTGTAATCAAGAACATGATTTAACCTTTGAAATGAGAACTGCAGAGAAAAATATGCTTCTTTCTCAACTGTTGCTCTTCACTAACGCTGAAGAGTACTGGTGAAGTAAGATGGAAGAAACAGCTTATTGTTGGGCCATCATTTCTAGCAAAGTCTCCCAATATTTGTTACTGTTACATAAATTTAAAACCATAACTGACAAAACACATGGCAAAATTTCAGAAGGCTGCAGCTTTCTTTGTTGTTGTTGTTTTCTTTTTTAACTTCTGCTGCTCAAAGTATTATCCAGAGTTCAGCAGAAACTCTCCCAGAGTCCCATTATTTTATTTAGCATTGGATATGTAATGGTTTTATTCAACAAATTCTATTTTCCTCTGCCCTTGTTTTATCTCTAAGCCCCGTACACCAGAGGGCTGTTTCTGGTCTAGATTGCTAAGTCATCATATCAAAAAACAAGTATGAGAACATTTCCAGGCAATTCTATGCTACAGAAATAGCCTGTGAACTCACCAGTGATCATGTTGGCCAATAGAAGGACATAAAGAGGCAAATGTGAAAAGCTGAATTTAAATTCTAAATATTCATCATTTTGCCATTATATTCTTGTGCCCATAGGAAAATTATGAAAATTTTTCTCTGCGTAGTTTGCACACTTGGGAACCAGTAAGTGCACACAGTTCAGAAGGTTGTCCATGCAGTGTGGGGACAAATAAAACTTGTCATTATATGCCCATTCAAAATGGAATGAGATTAGCATACGTGTAAAGTTACCAGATGTAAAAAAAGAATGATAAAACACAGAAGGCAAATAATCATTTTTTAGGAACTACATCTTGTTAATCCGATATTTTTACAGTCAATTTACGCAACAGTAATTCCCTGGACTTGGCAGGTGGAGGGATTATTCTCATCACTTTTAGATGCTTATAGTAGGTCATGTACTTATGAGGTAGTTGGTTAGGTTTCCCTTATAGCTAATGGAGAGAAAAATGGATTCCTCCAGTGCAGTTAATCAAACTACTTTTTGACCACTATTTTAGACTGAGATTAACTGTCCTCTGGACATGACAATTGTCCCTACTGACTACAAAGGAAGCACAGAGTGACGAGCTCAGGGGTAGCCAACTACATACACATGCTAAATCTGGACAGATGAGCCCTATTCTTACTGTATACTGTAAAATATAAAGGATAAAAATAGTATAATTTAACCAATTTCTAGGTAATTTTCAAGATATTTCACCATATTTTACTTCTCCTACTTAACAAGCTTGTTTTCTTTGATAGTGAGTAGGCCAGCACACTCTCCTTGTCCTCTCCCTGTATCTTTACAGTGCTGTTTTATTGTGGATGAAGTGCTCCACTAAAACAGTACAAGTAACCCAGGTCTTTTATCCAGACAGTACTTATAGCATGTATCCCCAGTGTGTTTCAACTCTCGTTCTGCATGCCTGTTTTCTGTATTTTCAAACCTTATTGAGGCAATTTAGGATGACTACCTTTATCTTCCCAAAATGCACTGACACAAACACAGACAGCATATCAAGTGTTGATACACAAACACAGTTGACACAGTTGTGTCGTGGAAAGAAAAAACACAATGAAACTGAACTGTAATCAATTCTGATGGAAGTGTCATGGCGTGGTAACAAAAACACAGCTGGATGTTTATCTCTGAGAGGGCTTGCTGTTTGGGGAGGGTAAGTACCTGGTTATTAAACATCTTCCTTTAAAACATAAATATATATATGATTCAAATGAATAAAAAGTGTTATCAAGGAGACTGTCTGGCTTAAAATAATACAATTCATGTTAACGTCTTGTGTTTTATTTAAATGAAAAGTTTGTTCTCCAGATATCTACCAATCCATGCCATAATGTCTGAGTATTTAGAATCTATTAACAAATTGTTATTTCATTTGGATGTGGAGATACATTATCAGTTTATATAGATATGCAAAATATATTCTGTATGGATGTCTTAAGAGGAAAGAAACTGTAGTGGCTGTTAACTGTCCCTGATATTTATGTAATGGCAGAAGATTCAAACCAATACTAGTTACAATTTTTTCATATATTGTAAATGTAATTTAAAGCATTAGAATCCGTTGGTAAAATAGTGCTTATGATATGAATGAAATCCATTCTAAACACTGTTGCACTAGAGCATTTCTCTGTACTGCCAGTGAGTTGATTGCCAGTGAACTGCCAGTGAGCCCCTCCATTTGTTCCAACTGGTTCTTGGTAGGCAGATTTTTCTCTCAGGATGCCTTTCAGTACCTGGCCTTTTAAAGTTGGTAGTCAGCATGCTAAAATAGAAACCATTTTGCACCTGGCAGATACTTTCATACTTTTATAATTGGTAGGAAGGCATTGTGCTTTCATTTTGTAATGCTCAATAATGGTAGAATCTCTCCTTAATCAGTAATTTCAGAGACATGTTTTTATCTCCTTTTCAATCCATTTATGTTCATGAACAGATAAACTTACCTTAATTCGTAATTCAGTGACATTTATGATGGTATTTAAAATTCTAAGGTTAGCCTATTTCAAGTTTGAGCAATTGTTCTATTATCACATTATTTCCGTTCCCTGCCTAGATGTGCCTAAGTCCTCTGATTGTGTTTCTTGCTGTGAGCATTCTGAAAAGCAGATCTGAACTTTGCCTCATGACTGTGATTACACAGGTGTGTAAAGTTTTTGGGTTTTTTGCATGGGTGTTCAAAAGGAGAAATAGAATACTGAAGCCTTTCTTTAATTTTCTCAAGTTATAGGAACATCAACAGGGCAGTAATTTCAACAACTTATTAATTCAGGAGATTGTTTGTTGTTTCAAATGTGGTCAGACTGTAGGCTGACATGCACAGTTCCTGTATCAGAACAGTATTCTTTACTTCCACAGGTCAATTAAATATACAGTGGTCTGAAAAAAATGAAAATATCAGGTATCAAAATCAACAAGAGGAAGGAATCTATGTCGTTTAACACTGCAGATTACAATTCTGTATTTTCCCAGAGAGGACTAATTGTATGCTGCCGTGCCAAACAGTTCAATGAAGTAGAAGTCAAAACACTGGTGAACTAATAACCTACCACCAAGGCAAATCATTTCACTATTGATTCTGTTATAGTTGTGTTCTCAGCCAGTGCAAGTGAGTTATAAACTTAAATTCAGTGCTTGTAGAGAATATTCCCCTGGTCTGTGACAAGAGAAGCCTCTCTCCACATTGTGTTGTTTGTTTAGCAACTGCGCTTTTTCTCCCTTCTGCAGCCAAGGATACCAGGAAGAGCCACTGCTGTTGTGGACTCTTGGGATCATACCTGGAAACTCAAAATTCAGGCTGAGGTTCAGACAGCTCTAAAGTGAAGGCTGGATCATGAAAAAACATTTCCCCAAATGAGATTTTAAACTAAGCATGGTGCAGTAGAACTACATGAAATTCTCTGTATTTTTGGCCAATTAATATTACTTTTTATTTTTGTCTTCCTTCTGACACTGGCAAACAATGAATGCTGAATTAAAAATGCTGCAATATCCTAATCTGGAAGTCATTTAGGCAAGATAATTTTTGTAGGAATTGATCTAAAAGAAATGGGTAACTCCTACTGTAACTAGAACACTGAACACTTCAAAGTTGGACGCTCAGTCACATGGAATTCTTCAAGTGTGCAGTGAACTTAATTAACAAACAAAGGTGAAGTTCTCAGTGAGCAGAACAGTCATCTTCCTTCTTAACAAGCTCTCTGAATCATTCTACTAGTAATGGTATTTTATTTTGGGAGAATTTCACCCAAGTGACGTTCAAGTGAATACCCAGAGAGGAAGGTACTCTCTCATGATTCTACAGTACAAATTACTTCTATGCTTTTCCTCCAGTCTTTCATAAGAATTAAATGGAAAAGGCTGACTGAATGGAAGTTTATAGTAACCTACGAAAAAGCACTTAAAAGATGGACAAGCAATGAACAATTACTCAGGATCATCTGCTACCTCTGAAATGCGGGGAAAAAACCTTGCTCCAGAAAATACCTGTATTTAAAAAAATCATCTAATCAGGGCAGTGACCAACTGAAAAGGCAACAATTGTAGTTCCTTTTCACTAGTGGGAAAGTACAGATCGCTGCCTATGAAAGCCAATGTAGTTCCCATTCCATATTCATCAGTAAGTCTGAACTAAAGAATTTATGTTATGCTAGAGATGTGTCCCTGTTGTATTCTGAAGAAGCTTACTGGAGGCAAATTTTAAGTTTGGTTGCCAGAATCAAGAAAGGCTAAATTTGATTAAAAATCCGAGTGAACGTAAGAACTTCTGCTGATGGTGTCACTTTTCAGCCCTCAATGAAAAAAACTTTGGATCAAAGTAACGGAGACATTCTCCTCTTGCTATCAAATTATTGTTGAATATTATTGTCTTCTGATCAAAACTAATAAAAGTGCCATTTAAACTGCCCTGCCTTGCACAGTCAGCAAAACAATATTGAATAACACTGGGCAAACATCTCAATTATTTTGAAAAGTAATTTTTTAAATAAAACTCCAACTTGCTTTGCCTGTGTCAGAGTAAATTATATATAAAAGGTGTACGGTCCCAGAAGTTCACCTACTTTATGATGACACAAGAAAATATTTTCTGAGAGAATTCTGCATGTGTTATTGTCTTGATCAAGCACAGTATTTTGGTGTATTTGGACAGCGTCTCATTCTGGTGTTGTTTGTTTCCAAACATAGAGAGTCCACGATTAAGCAAAGGTTATCTACATAACGGTACTTTTGGATTCCAGATACTTAATGTTCTCAGTCGAGAATTAAGATTTATCAGTCAAGAATTATTCACAGAACTCATCAAAATCTTACATAAGTCGATTCAAGAAAATAATGAAGTGCTTGGAGGAGTGTTAAATAAACATTTTTGTAACGGAGGCCAGATGGAATCCTGTCAGTCTGTAGCTGTTCATATTCAGCAATAAGAGATGAAGTGCAAATGCAGTTTTTTTTAGACACACTGGTTATTATCTGTCTTCACATAGGATGTGGAAAAGATTTACACATTTGATGAAGTTATATTAAGAGCATATCAATCTCATCATTTACTTGATAACTGCATCTGTTTAGTCAGAATCATCAACTGCAGATTCCATATTTTTAAAAATGTAATTTAAAAGGGTATTTCAGACTTATCTTGTTATAAAATCCCTGTGAAATCCTATTTTTCTCCACAAATAATTTATCCAGCTTGTATTAGGATTGGTCAGAGACAGGTGGAGATCAACAGAATACAAACAGCACAAGGCCTAGATTAAAAGATTTCAGAAAATTATATTTCACCTTGATGGAGAAGCTCTCTTTTGCAAGCAGTACAAAAGAGGAAAAGGGGCAGTTAATGTTATTGTTATGAAGAGCAGTCATTTACACTCCTTAGTGATGGATATGAGTAACAGAATCTAAAATTTTATCTCCTTCTTAAGGACTGACAAAAATTGTCTCCAAAGAGTCAGTGAGACAAAATCAATGTTGCATTGACATTCTGTTTTCTTATTCTGCTACTTCTGTGTTATTCCCATGTCTCTAAAATAAGAAAACTGCTTAAAACTTGTAGTGGATATTTTCCTAGCACATGGAACCCTCAGAAGACAAAGGGGATAACAGGAGTTGCTTCCAATTTTCCTTCTAAACTACATTGTGCAAAAGATAGTTAGAGATGTGACTGCTAGTGCACATGGATTTCAGCAGCATTGCCTCTTAATGGGATTGCTGCCAGCTGGTAGAACTTGAAACAAAACTCAAATTGCTTTCAGATGGGTGAAGGGGTTAGTAATTTCTTTTGTCTCCTTTTAGTTGAGGTGGAAAGGTGACTTGGCATTTTTGTAGAGTTAAAAATCTTATTTTTCTTGGTTTTTGGGATGTTTGTAACTTTTGGGGTAGATACTGCATAATGAGTTGTTCTTCTAAGTAGAATTCTGTGAGAAATTTTTCAGTATCAGAAGAGGGAAAAAAGCACAAAATTTGTAAGAGTTGTAAAAGGCACTAAGAGGCAGTACTCATTGTCTTTTCCTCGTTACAGTACTGGCTGTGATATCTCAATTTAAAAGTCTTGAGGTATGCTCTAAATGTACCATGGCATACCAAAATCTACACTTCTAAGCACAATGATCCTGAAAGGCTGCAAGGTGTTATCAGGTTAGAACTGTTATGATATGTAACTCAAGGTATCTAGAAATGGACAGCTGAAAACACATAAAAACTCCCCAGCCCACTTCTGCTGATTAATCTGAGCAGTCTCAGAAGCTGTCATATACTTGACATAGTTTTGAAGACAAGCTGTCATTCCATTATGTATTGTGAGTATTGCCCCACAGTTGGTAAACTTGCTTTGTGGGTTAGAGTGAATTTGGAAGCTGGAAGACATCCAGCTGCAGTAGCTTTTGCACTGTTTTGACCTGCTGTGCCTCACTGAGAAAGTTGTGTATGACCTTCATGTTGAGGTATGGATGCATTCTGAACAACTGCCAGCATGTATATTATTTCTTACCCAAAATATGTTTCCCTTAATTGTTTTTACAACAGTGGATATTGAGAAAAAAAGAAATAACTTGTCAGCTTTTTTTTTCTTGCCTATCACATAGGTGTAAAATGTGGAACGCCAACTAGAATTGCTAGGAATCTAGTGGTAAAATTTTAGCTTTACGTGCTATTTTAGTACTGTGATACAGTGATACCACAAGCAGGTTTTGGCTTTTTTTGCTAATACTAGAAATGAGAATTGAATAACTAAGGATTTATTGCTGAATAATGAATAAACTAACAGCTAGATTAGCACCTTTCAGCTTTAAGATAATTTTAGGTAGTACCACAGCTATTTGAGTCAAAAAGAAATGTCACTGAGAGTAAAGAGTAAAGAGAACAAAAGAGCAGACGTTTGAAATGTTGCTGTTAAGACTTGTGCTGCGGGTGCTTAGTAACTTTGTCTGCTATGTGAAACTCTCATTTAAGCTCTTAGGACTGCTTCACGCAGAAAAAGTACCTGCAAATTACTCTTTCTTACTGTTAAATGTTGCAGTGGATCAGTTCTTAGTACTTGATTCAAGAGCTTATCTAAGCAAAGTGAATGAAATAAGGATCACAAAATGGCGAGAGAACTGTAAAGAAGGAGATCATGCTGGTAGAGCTGTGATACAAAAAGGAAACTTTTCTGGCTTCAGCATAGGACAACTTGTACAACCAGAATGCGATTATTTGCAGACAGGGTTTAATGGACTACTGAAGATGTTGTCACAGGTTTTAGTAAAAACACTGAAACTGTGGTTGTATGGGTAGGGAGTTAGCAGCAGTATAGGGAATAAAAAAATAATACCTATCATTAGGTGGGAAGGAATCTGCTGAAAATGTGCCCAGACTTATTTTGCTACCTGTTGAATTTTAAAATACTGAAAATTAATCAGTAGACAATACCTACTCTCATATTTTTGTTATAGAAAAAAAACATATTTATGGAATGATGTGAAAGTGATTCATAGGATAGTGACAAAATGTGCATAGCCCTACAAATGTATGGAAACATCTTGTTTTTGTCATAGTGTGATTAAAAATCTCTGTGGTCAGATTTTTCTCGTGCTTGCGTAAGATTGAGCCTGAACAAACACATTGTAAATACCAACAGCAGTCAGGCTTGGAACATGTGCGTACAGA